CTGCTGTGGAAGAAACTGGTGAAGGGCAAAGGCTGGCTCGACAGAGCAGGGGAGAGGTAGAGCAAGGCAGAGGTGATTCGGAGGAAGACCAAGGCACACCCCCTCTTCATCCTAGGGCATGCAGGGAGGAGTGGAGAAGGGAGCAACATGAGTTGTCTGGCTTACGGGGAGGAAGGGGCCCTGATTCCCTCCATTAGCTGCAGCTGGGAACACTTTAAAAAGGGAAGCTGCGCACAGCAAAGTTGTTGGGAGTACATTGTGAATTATCTGGTATCGTGCATATTTGTTTCATTTCTGAGATGGAATGCAAAGCTTGTAAAATAACTGCAAAATGCTTTTAAATAGCTAGAAAAAGCAAGATGAGTAAGTGCATCTGTGTATAAGTACAGTATTTTATGATGCTGCATGACATGAGAAAAAACAATGATTGCTTGGTACAGTCACATGATGAATAGTGTATAAAACAGCTGTTTATGATCTTACCCTCTAAAAATTTACATAATCCATATATAAAGTAAAAAAGTATATAGTAAAAAAATTGCATGTAAAACTACTTTCCTCATGAGCAGAAATATATCACATTTGAAATATATTCTTGAAGTCTTAACTGATTCCCTATTTTACAGATTTCAGTAGTTCCATGATCAGGGTGAAAAAAACTGGCTACAAGCTAAAGCCTACAAAATGTATACTGTAAAATTCCATATTAAGATTTGCAATCACCTTTTTCATGGCTCCATAGCAAGTTCCCCCTCACAACATTTGTCACACCTAAAAGGTAACCTGTTCATTTGATGTGAAGCTAAAGCAATTGTTAAATTACTGGAAGTCCTGTATGTCAGACTTCTCTTTCCAAAGAATGAGAATGTAGAAACTTGAAACAATTAACAGGGATAAAGGATTAGAAGATAAATAAGCTGTCATGCAGACCACCCACTGGCTAGATTAAACATTAAATGAGTAGTAGTCAATGAAAGAAATGATTGATAAAACTGTATTTTGACTATTTCTATACTGGCCATATATGTTGCCTGACTATATTAATCTATCTTCTTTTCTTCTATTGCAGAGACCACCAATTTCATGGACATAATCAAAGGCATGGAGCAAAACATATTGGGAAAAATCATTTCTAGCTTGCATATGCGAGATAACTAGAAAGAGAACTTACTAAGCATTGCTGTTAATTGTTAGGGCTGTATTGTCATTCTGTGCACCAGTAGCATTACTGTATATTAATTATTTTTTCTTTTATTATAATGTTGTAAATCATATTATATTGTATTATTTCAATGCAATGGAGATTCAATGCAGTAAAGTTTATATAATTAAAATTATTAACATATTTAAAAAGCTAAAAGTATTGAAACATTAAAAATTTCTTATTATATGATTATGATGATTCAGTCGTGCCTGACTCTTGGTGATTTTATGAACCAGGTCTCTCCACATCTTCCAATCTTGTACTACTAGTTTGAGTTTTTCCATGCTCTAGCTGATGTCAGCTTTGACAACATAATCTCCAGTGAATTCCTCCACAGCACATGGCCAAAATAACTGGGAAGTAATTTTGTGACTTTTCCCTCTAGTGACATGCCTGGAGTTATGTGCTCTGGTAGTTTGTGAGGGAGGCAGAGAGTGAGTACAAAGGAGGAAGGTATTTTGAATTGCCTCCGTTGCATTTCAACTTCCCAGAGTTTGGTGGGAGGACTGCTGGCTGTTTGTGAGAGAGGCAGAGAGTGAGTACAAAGGAGAAAGGTAGTGACCTGCACGTCTAACAGCACGCGAATCATATAACTATAACCCAAAAATAGTAATGACAATTCAGGGTTGGTGCACTTGAGATTGTGATTTCATTTTATTTCAAAATGACCAGCGTAGTTCAGTGTAATACTTGTTTCGCAGCTGTCTTTCGGAGCACTCTTTTCAAATTTGGATGCTGTCCTCTTTGTAAACAAATTACATGGATAGATTACCTATCTAGAATCTCTAATCTGTGCTCTCCAAGCAGAAATTAGATCCCTAATCCAGCCATACCAGTCTATTGAGCTGCCAGCCCGAACTACCACAAAGACCCTAAAGGAAAAGAGCAGTATGGACAACCATAAGATCTGGCAGGGTGAGAGCTGTGGACCATAAACACAAAGCTTTTGCTGTGTCCCAGCATAACAGATACAGTGCTCTTGCACTGTCTAGGGACACTAAAGTGACAGGTCAAGGTAGTTGTGATAATGATAACTCAAGCCGGGGATCGTGGTCCGAGAAGAAGAACTTACTTTGGAAAGGGGAAAGTGTGAATCAGGTATTACGCATCATCAGTCACACAAGAAGAGCAAGGTATCCAAAAAGAGAAGCCACCTTCTGGTTGGGGACTCAATTGTAAGTGATGTAAATTTAGGAAAAGATACTGAGGTTTTGAAAGAGGTCAGGTGTCTGCCAGGTGCTACTTCCATCAGAGACAAGAAGCGTAGTCTTAAGGTAGTCAAGAATGCCAATAAGAACTGTGATATTGATGCTATTATACAATTTGGTACAAATGATCTGTCCCAGAAGGATGTACTTTCTGTGCAGAAAGACTTCCAGAGCTTGGGGTATGAACTTAGTAGTATGGGATGAAGGCTTATCTTTTCAGAGGTTCTACCAGAATATAAGGAAGAAAAAGGGAAAGGCCAGCATGTAGTGGAGTTTAATGTGTGGCTAAAGGAGTGGTGTAAAAGGGAAGGCTTTGGTTTTATTAGTCATGATCTCTGCAGCTGGTCCAATGAAAACTGTACAAAAGAGATGGTTTGCATCCATCAAATAAAGGGACTGAGTTACTTGGCATTAAATTCACAGATTTTCTGGATAAACATTTAAACTGAACAGCAGGGACAGAGAATGGATACAAAACATTTCTGTCCCCAGCAATCTAAAATTAATAAGGATGCTAGTGCATGTAACATAGATGTTTGTGCAGGTAAGATTATCAACCTTGCTGTCAAGCAAAACCAAGCATTTAATAGTGAGGGCCATACCATGTGCATTAATCAAACAGGTGGCAAGAAAGTAGGGGCAGTCAGACACAACACAGGTTACTAGACAGTAAACACAGCATCAGACATAAAGATCTCAAGTGCCTATATACAAATGCATGAAGTCTGGGGAACAAACAGGGTGAACTTGAACTACAAATATATAAAGGTAGGTATGATATAGTTGAAATAACTTGGTGGGATGAAACTCATGATTGGAACATTCTGGTAGAAGGATACAAACTCTTCAAAAAAATCAGATCCCATAAAAGAGGAGGTGGAGTTGCACTGTATGTAAAGGACCACTTGCTACAGAAATGCATGAAACCAAAGGTGAAAACCTAGAATGCATATGGGTCAATATAAAAGAAAAGAAAAAAAATGATATGGCCATAGGTGTACATTATAGGCCACCCAAAGAAGCAGAAACCTTTTTGCCAACCAACTAATAAACACATGCAGGAAACACACAACAATAGTGATGGACTTCAATTATCCTGATATCAATTGGAAAACTAATTCTGCACCAAGTGAGAAATAAGTTCCTAACCAACCTAGCTGACAACTTTGTTGTCCAAAAGGTAGAGGGTGAAACTAGAGGGACAGCCACACTGGACTTAATTCTTACAAACAGAGAAGAAGTGATAGAGGGAGTTGAAACTGTAGGAACCTTGGGTGAGAGTGAACATGTCATACTAGAATTCAACATAACACAAACACAAGCAATAGAACATAATGACACCAGAGTCTTGGATTTTAAAAGAGCTGATTTTAATAAACTCAGAGAGAACTTGGGAAAGATTCCATGGATGAAAATCCTAAAGAGGAAAACAATTCAAGAATATTGGGGAACTCTGAAAAGTACAATCATAGAAGCCCAGACCAGCACAATACCACTGAGAAAGAAAAACAAGAAATCCAAGAAGAAACCAGCATGGCTGCACAAAGATCTCTGGCAAATTGCAAGAAAAAATGGACAAGTATAAAAATTGGAAAGAGCAGGGATGAGATTCAACCAGTGTTATTACCGGTTCAGTAATTACGTATTGGATGCTAGTAAAGCAGTTATGAGGGGCTACTTTATGTAGTAAAATCACTTAGAGAATAAAAAAATTCCAGGAAAAGATGCAAAGGATATTGGATGAAATTAGACAAAGAAATTCAGCTGCAAAAGACACCTATGGATCCTAAAATTTTACACTATGTTAAATTGTTACAGCAATAATGATCTATGTTAACTATACAGGAAATGGAAACAAAATTTAACTATGCAAAACAAAAGATTTTGAATTTTTAAATAAACCAGGCAGATGGTTGGCTTATCAATTAAGAAAAGAAAGCGAAAAGACAATTGGAAAAAAATTGAAGTTAATAATGTAATAACAGGCAATGAACTTATTAAAAAGTCCTTTCATAATTTCTACTCAAATTTGTATAAAAGACAGGAGATAGATATGTCAAAAAAGATGAATATCTTTTAAGACAGCAGTTATCTATCACAAACCCAGACACAACTTATGAATGATCCAATAACTGCCTTAAAAAAAAAAAAGATTTAAAAAAATGAGGCCAGGCAAAGCTCCAGGTCCAGATAGTCTCACAAGCCAATATAAGTATTTCAGGGATGAACTTCTTCAAGCAGTAAAGGACATAATAAATGATATACTACAGATGTGGAAAAAAGCCAATATTATGTTGCTCCCAAAGGAGGGTCAAGATGTTAGAAAGAATGAGACCAATTTCATTATTAAACAAAGATTACAAAGTCTTGCTGCCATTCTGGCAGAAAGACTAAAGATTTTCCAGGTATATATACATGAAGACCAAGCAGTCTTTCTACCAAAAAGACAGCTAGGAGATAATTTGAGGACTGTCTTAAATATTATTGAATACTTACAATATCATAATGAGAAACAGGCTGCCTTAATATTTTTAGATGTAGAGAAGGCCTTTGATAACCTAAGTAGGACTTTTATGTTTAAGGTGTTGGAAGAAATGGACTTTTGAATGAATTTTATCCAAGGAATTAAAGTGATCTACAAGTCACAGAATGAAAAAATGGTTATAAATGGTGATCTAACTCGTGAAATTCAAAAGATTACAAGACACGGATGTCCTTTGTCCCCTCCTTTGTCCCCTGTTGTTTATTTTTGTATTGGAAGTTTTGAATAGAGGTATTAGACAAAAGAAGGGGTACATTATTATTACCTGTATTGTCAGAACACAACATGTGTACAATGAGGTTGGCTGAGCCTCCCTTCATGCATCCCCACCCACCAAACACAATTCACAGTAAGGACAGAAATATAAATATTAAGAAAGAAGTGTATAAATTGAGGGCCTTCACTGATGATCTGGTATATTTTTACAGGTCCCAAACATATATATAGAATATTTGTTGAGGAAATTGAACAAGTTTGGGGCTTTGGCAGGTTTTAAAATAAATAAACAGAAAACAGCAATGCTGATCAAGAATATGCATTCTCAGGATAACGATATCTTGAACAAAAAGTTGGGTTTGAGAAAAAGGTGAAATACTTAGGGGTTATGCTGACAAATACAAATATATAACTGTTTCAAAACAACTATGATCCTCTTTGGATGGATATTAAGCAGGATTTACAAAGATGGGATAAATTGCACTTATTACTATTGGGTTGAATCTCTATAATCAAGATGAATATTTTACCAAAGATGCTGTTTTTATTTCAGATGTTACCAATTGTCCTCTGGTGCTCCATTCAAAATCCAAGAAAGAAATACTTAGACTCCTTTAATCAGAGAAAAGATATCTTTTACTGGAAATCAAGTGGTAGCAACAAAAGAATTCTGAATCTGAGAAAATGGGTGCGTAAATCACATATACAAAGTAATGGCAACGTTCCCACCCCCAATAATTCAATTGGCTCATCTAATTAAAAGTTGTGTATATCATCATGTGGGCATTTCCAGGTGGTGATGAGGCTTCTGTCCGTTGACCTTGACATAGTTTGATAAAGGGTTGTAGCTGCGCATAGCATAGGATAGAAACCTAACCAAGAACGTACCCCCCCACCCCGTTTATACAGTTCTGATTTGTAACACCTCCAGCTCACTTCCTATAACCATTCCCCCTTCCTCCCCCCATTACTTATGACAGCCAAAAGATGCAAAGCAAAGGGAGAAAATCTTGAAGGCTGACATCAATACTTACAGCTGACAATTCATTTAAACAATGGCAGAAGGATATTTCTAAGTTCCTAGAGAGAAAAAATCAAGAATTAGATATAAGCTACTGCAAGATGCTATAGAAAGAGGGGCTTTGTGTCTATCAGATATGAAATTGTATTTTGATCCATGTTGTTTGACCTGGTAGGAATCAAAGTGTCCTTCCATTTTTGTGCATACAATAGTCTTGCTGCTGTCAACATATATAATAACAAAGTTCCAAATTTTTTCCAGTTCTTTTTCCATTAGGCCCCAAAGGAAAAGTTCTGGTTTCATTTTTATCTCTCTATTAAAGTATGAATCATATTCCAATTTTTTTTTTTGCTTTATCACATATCTACCACAGATGATAAAAGTCCTTTTTTTTACTTTTACACTTCCAAGATTTATTTGACATACCTTTATACATCTTAGATAGCTTATCTGGTGTTAAATACCAACAGTACATTGTCTTACATAACTTTTCTTTTAGATTTTAATTTATTTTATATGATGTCTATTACATTAAGAATGTAATAACATATAAAATGTTCTTTTTTAAAAAAAAATTATTTGTTTTTAAAACAAACATAAACAAACAAAACATAAAAACATCAGGCCATCTTCCATATATGTACATACAGTGTGCCGGTTGGTTTACAAATTGTTTTGTGCTTCCATTTCGTAGTCTTCAATTACATTGTATATGATCTCATATTTTCAATCCAATATTAAATACATTGGTATCATTATTAATCAATCATTTGACTATACTTTTATTTATTCATGCTTTAGGAAATAATCATATTTTACGTAATTTGTTTTGTGACAATTCATATTATCATCCCAAATCTATCCTAAAATCATTTTGTAGATATAATAAGGAAAGAATACATCTTTATATATTTAGTATTTTCTAAAAGTTTACATATTTCGTTACTATACTTTATTGTCTAACCATTGATAGAATAGATCCCAAACTTTATAAAATTGTTTATCATCCTGTTCTCTAATTTCAAATGTCAATCTCCTCATTTCAGCACATTCCAATATTTTCTTAATGATTTCCTCCTGTGATGGTATCTTCTCATTTTTCCAGTTTTTAGCAAATACAATCCTAGCCGCTGTTAATACATTTACAATCAGGTATTTCAAGTCTTTACTATATATTTCAGGTAAAATTCCCAATAAAAATATCTCTGGTTTCAAATCTATGTTTTTTTTGTCATTTTTTCCAACTACGTGTGGATTTTAGTCCAGTATTTTTTAGCTGCACAAGTCCACCACATATGGTAGTATGAGCCAGGTGTCTGATAACATTTCCAACATTTTTCGGATTTATTCTTGAACATTCTTGCTATTGTTGTCGGGGGAAAATGCCACTTGTAAAACATCTTATACAAATTTTCTTTATATGCTGTTGACATTGTCATTTTATAATTTTGAGACCACAATTTTTGCCATTTCTCTAGATCAATCCCATATCCAAAATTCTTCCCCCAAGCAATCATAGTTTCTTTAACTTGTTCTTCTTCTAGTTTAATTTCTAATAAATATCCATACAATTTTTTTATCACCTTTTCATCAGTACCTGTCAAAATCTTATCTAAATCAGTCAGTTTATCATAGAAACCTTCTGTTTTAGAATCTTTATCATACCTTGAATGTATTTGTGCATATGAAAACCAATTCAGCTTTATACCTTGTTCCTCTAGTTTTTGTATGGATTTAAGTTCACCCTTTTCATTTAATATTTCACCATATCTAGCTGTTTGTTCCTTTTTGTATATTATAGGATATGCTTCAATAGTCGATAGCCAGACTGGAATTTTCAAATAACATTGTCTTTTAATCTTCTCCCAGTTTAACCACAGAGACTCCTGTATATAATGTCTTCTAAAATACCTTTGTGTTTTAGTTCCTTTATACCATAAAAAAGCATGCCACCCCAACAACAGATCATGTCCTTCTAATGACAACAATCTAGTATTTCTTAATGTTATCCATTCCTTAACCCACATCAAATTTGTAGCTTGGTAGTACAACTCCCAATTAGGCAAACCAAATCCTCCTCTTATTCTAGCATCTTGCAAAAGTTTTAACGTTATTCTCACTTTCTTACCTTGCCATATATATTTCAACACAATTTTATTTAAATCTTCAAAATAGTCTTTTCCAAGCCTGATTGGAATTGTTTGAAACAAATATAAAATTCTGGGTAATATATTCATCTTGATTGTTGATATTCTCCCTATTAGTGACAGTTGTAAATTTTCCCATTTCACCAAATCTAGCGCTATCTGCTGTTTAAGTTTGATATAATTATTCTCTTTTAGTGTACTGCATCTTGCTGTCAAGTATATCCCCAAGTACTTGATGTTATTCGTGACCTGAATTTTCAATAGGTCTGCCAGTTCTTCGTTTTGTCTTGATAGCATATTCTTTGTCAAGATCTTTGTCTTATCTTTATTTATTTTCAAACCAGCCACCTTTCCATATGTCTCTATCTTTTCTATCAATTTTGATGCTGTTTCTAATGGGTCTTCTAAGATAAAAACCAGATCATCTGAAAATGCTTGAAACTTAAATTCTTCCTTTTTAATTTTCATCCCTTTTATATTCTTTTCATCTCTAATATTTCTATTTAGCACTTCCAAAGTTAACACAATCAACAGAGGTGATAGTGGGCACCCTTGTCTTGTTCCTTTTCTTATATCGATAGAGTCTGTCAGTTCTCCCTCTATCATTACCTTTGCCGTTTGCTTATGATATATAGCTTCTATTGCTTGAATAAATTTTCTAGCAAAGCCCATCTGTTCCAGCAGTAATAACATGAATCACCAATTCACATTATCAAATGCCTTCTGCACATCTAGAAATATCAAAGCCATTTGTTTTTCAGGATGTGCCTCGCAGTATTCCAAAGTGTCCAAGATTATCCTCATATTGTCTTTGATTTGTCTCTTTGGCAGAAATCCATTTTGATCAGGATGGATAAAATTATTTAAGTATTTTTAAGTCTTTCTGCCAAAATTGAAGCAAAAATTTTATAATCTGCATTTAGTAGGGAAATAGGTCTATAGTTCTTGATTTGTAATGGATCAGCCTCCTCTTTTGGAACAAGTGTAATATAAGCTTCTGACCATGATTTAGGTATCCTCTTCTTTAACATAACTTCATTCATAACTTCTAGCAATGGAAAATTCAATGATTCTTGTAACGTTTTGTAAAATTCTGCCGGAAGTCCATCTGGGCCTGGTGTCTTTCCATTATTTTGCTTCTTGAGTGCTTCAGTTAACTCCATCATCATTATATTGCTTTCTAACATTGTTTCAATCTCTTTAGGTATCTGGGGTAACTTAGCATTCTGTAAGTACTGTTTGACTCTTTCATCATCAATATTCTCTTGTGTGTATAGTTTCCCATAATAGTCTTGAATGATTTCCTTCTCTTTACTACCATAGCAAACTTGGCCTTGATCATCTATTAACTGCAATATTTTCCTTGATTCTTTCTCCTTTCTCAATTTATATGCTAACCGTCTACCTGGTTTATTTGCATCTTCAAAGTAGTTCTGTTTAGCACCTCTAATTTTCTGTGCTAATTCTTCTTTTTCTATTAGACCCATTTTATTATTTGGTTACATCCATTTTTAACTTAATGTCCTTTTTCTGTGGCATTTTCTGTAGCTCTTTTTCAAGTCCTTTATACTCATCTTCTAATGCCTTAGAGTAGTGGTCCCCAACCACTGGGCCCCGGACTGGTACCGGTCTGTGGATCATTTTCTACAGGGCCGCCAGTTTGCTTGGGCGCCGCCTTCTTGTTTCGACGGCGCTTGAGAAAGTGCTTCCGGGTGAGCTTGTTGGTCGTCGGTTGTTGGAAAGCGGCATTTGGGTGCTGAAGGAATCCTTGCACCTTAGTTTCGTCGAAGGGGGGGGGGCAGCTTCGAACGAAGAGCTGTCCTGATGGCGGTGGAGTCTCGTGTTACTCAAGAAAAGATTAAGAAAGAGCCCGAAAAGCACAAAAAAGGTACAAAGGGTGAGTTGAAGGTGGTGGGGAGAAGCGGGGGATGGCTGGCTGGCTGGTCGCTCAGCTCGCCTTGCCTTGGCCATGCGTGCTGATGCCGGTACCGGTCCGTGGATCATTTTGTGATGCTGGTACCAGTCCGTGGTACAAAAAAGGTTGGGGGCCACTGCCTTAGAGGCTAAACTTTTCATGGTATTTCTTTTCCTTGTATAGTCTATTATCAAACCTCTGTCTATTATCATGCCTTCATTGTATCCCATACATTCTGGATTGATGTATCTTCTTTTTTGCTTTCTCTAAAGAAAAAAGCCAGTTCTTTCACCATCCACTGTGTGAAGTCTTTCCTTTAAAATAGTATTATTTAATGTCCATCTAGATCTTCTTCTTTGTCCTTTCCATTTAACTGTCATTGGATTGTGAACTACCCAAGTACTTGTTTCAATATTTATTTCTTGAATATTAGTTAACAATTCTGTTGACATCCATATCATATCTATTCTGGACCATGATAAGTGTCTATTTGAGTAGAAGGTGTATTGTTTAGTTTTAGCATTTCTTTCCCTCCATGTATCTTTTAAGTTTATTTCATCTACCATTTTAAAAAAGGATTTAGGGAGAGTCTTTCTGTTTTGCTTTATTGTTTTCTGTGCTGTATAGTCCAGTTTGTTGTCTACAATTCCATTAAAATCTCCCATCATAACTATATTAGCATAGTCCAGTTCAATTATTTTCATATGTAATTTTTTATAAAATTCTTATTGTTTGTCATTTGGTGCATAAATTGTAATCAGGAGTGTTTTCATATTATTATCCATTATTTCCACCATTAGTATTCTCCCGTCGTCATCAGTATAAATCAATTTCGCTGGAATGGTCTCTTTAATATATAAAACCACTCCTCTTTTCTTGCATTGTGTCAAGGAGGTAAATATTTTCCCTAATTTTGGCTGTATGAACAATTGTTCATATTGTTTTTTAATATGTATTTCTTTTAGGCAGATTATATCAAATTTTAATTTCTCTAATTTATGAAAGATTTTCCTTCTTTTAACGGCTGAGTTAAGTCCATTTATATTAATTGTAATCTATTTTTTCTCTTCCATGGTTATATTTTATAATTAGGTTTGGCAGCTCTTGTGGATCTTGGTTTACATTGTTCTTTGGCTTCCTCCTTTCCACCTACTGCACCTTCCTTTTTTTCAGTCATCATTTGGGAGTCCTCTTGGAATTCAATTAGTGAAATTTCTTTTTCTGCATCTTCCTCCCCGCTGAAAAATTCTGTGTAAAATGATTCAGCTTTCTCAATTGAGTCAATTCTATATCTCTGTTCTTGCCATGTAAACATTAAACCTTCTGGAATCAGCCATCTATAATTCACCTCTTTTTTAAGTAACAATTTGGTCAAGAATCAGTATTCCCTTCTCATCTCTCCCACTCTTCTGGGTACTTGTTTCAAGACCACAATCTCCTTATCTTTGTATTTCAATGTTTTCTCTCTTGCCACTTACAATATTTGCATTTTAATGGCTTTCTTTGTAAATCGGATGTGAACTTCTCTTGGTAGGCTATTTTTCATTGTGTATCTTGTGAAGACTTGATAGACCTCATCTATTCCATCCATCATCTTCTCTTCAGTTATTTCCAAAGCTTCAGCCAATATTTCTATCATTATCTCTGCTAGATTTTGTCCTTTTTCTTCCTCTATGTTTTGGAATGTAAGATAAAATTCTGATCTGTCCATCTCCCATCTCAGCATACCACTTTTATCTTGTTCAACCACAGTTAATCTGTTATCAATGTCTCCAATCTTCTTGTCTCTTTGTTTATCTTCTTCAATTTTTTGGAGTCTCTCATCATACTTCATCATCATTTGTTGGATGTTCTCCACTTTTTCATTGGTTTTCCCTGTTCTTTGTTCAATGTTCTCTGTTCTTTGTTCAATGTTCCCTATTCTCTTTTCAATATTCTCTGATCTTGTTTGAATATTTTGAATTCCTTGCATAATCATCTGCAGGGTCACTTTTTCTTGTTCATTTTCTTGCCTTAATATTGTCTGTATTGAACGTTGTCTCTAGGTGGTGGACAGGAAGAAGTAGAAGTTGAAGAACCAGGAGCTGTTAATTTCCTACTCATTTCAAACAATTCAAAATCTTCAGGTTCTTCTAGCCTTAATCCAATTATGAAGTGACCAATTGTGATTCCAAATAAAAATAGTAGGGAAAATGAAGCCAAATAGTAATAATAATAAAAAAAGAAAAAAGAATTTCTTCAGGTTCTTGTATACCTTAATCCAATTGATTAGTTAGATAACAACGAAAATTCAAAAATGAAGGAAAAAAACCATAAACATACACAAAAGAGAAAAAGATGGAAAAGTGAGGAATAAAAAGCTTTAAAAAAGGAGAAATTCTTCAGGTTCTTCAACACCTTAATCCAATTAAGAGGTCTCAAATATAAAAGGCTGCATAAGAGAAAAAGAAAAAAAGCCAGGAAGATAAAAAGAAAGAAAAAACCAGTATTGGAGGTAGATGGAAAAATGAAAGTACCAGAAAGGCAGAAAGAGAAAAAGAAAAAAAAGGCTACTCCCTTAAAAAGAAAAAGAAGGGAATAATTAATACTAAAACTTTTCTTTTAAAATAAAAAGCAAACGTAAAAATTTAACTTTCAAAGACAAGCAAAAAAAAAAAAAAGCAAAGACAAGTTCCAAAGAACTAAAAATCCAAATAGCTATTTCAAAAAGTAAACTGTTGAGGAGTGGTAGCACAGCTTAGGAAAAATCAAGAGAACACACTGCACTTTGTTTAGTTGTCCAAGGCTCTTGTTATAACACTCTTCTCCAGAAACTTATCACCTTTTCTTTTCCTATAAACTTCAACACCAGACTCCAGCTGTTGATAGAAACCCAGAAGAACACCTGCAATAATACTCTCCCATGCTCTTCCCTCTATCTTATCAAATAGCAATGTCCTTGAAAAGAAGTCTCAGTTCTTTCTTTCTCAGCTTTGCCTGGTCACAGGAGAAATAGAATATTTCCAAGCCTCTAGTTGGCAGTGTTACAAAGTTTCTTTGCTTTCACTTTCCCCCTCCTTTTCCAAGCAAAATATAATAAGAATTAATACAAAGAAAAAGCTATTTTAAAAAAGAATTAACTAAAAGGGAGTCTCTAGCCTAAAATGTTACAAAATCAAAAAGGAGAAAAAAAATAGATGGAAAAGAAAAAACCAGTCCCATTTCAAAATATAAGATCATGTATAGAAAATCCAGCAATGAGAAAAAAACTTTAGTTTGACATTCCTGTTTAAAATTGCTGCTTAATCACTTCTGTCAAAACTTTTACAGATTCTTTTTTTCTCCTTAGGGTGTCCTTTCAGATCTTAGAATAAAGAAAAAGTTCTCACCAAACCAGCACACTCTCTCTTTCTGTTCTCTTTTGTTTCGGAGCTGTCCCAATTTCAGCAGCTTTAATGGCTGCCTCTTTGCTGCTGGCAAGAAGAGCTTCTCCTGGATCTACCAGGGACTTTGCGGTATCCCTGGGATCGACAGGATGCACTCTTTACATTCACCGTCTCTTTGGGACGGTTTAGATCCGATAGGACCATCCAGGAGCAAAGATATCGGCAGCGATCTCAGACCTCCAAGATCTCATGCCGTATCGTTGCGACGCCAGCTCTGCCCTTCCCAACATATAAAATGTTCTGATAACAGAATTTTGGATTCAACTCTCTTTCCCTGGTTATATGCAACATCCTTGTGTGATGCTTTTCTTCAGCTCTAATGGCATCAAAATGTGGGCTAAAAATCTATTTTCACTAAAACTCTTGTATCTATTTGATACTTTATAACCTTCAATTGGGTGAAACAATGTGTTAAAGAGCAATAATTTTCAGCTCAGTGTACCTCAAATGGGCCAACAAAATACATCCAAAATCCAGGATCCATGACTCCTGTGGGATTGAAATTTGGCAAAGCTATGGCTGCTTCAGTGCCACCATGCCTTCCTACAAAACTACATTATATGATCCAAGGGAAGATGGGAAAGGCGTATCTCTGCCCTCTTTACTGCTTCCCTCTGGCCCTTGCAACAAACTGATTTGTGGCAAGGCCCAATAGGCAAGCAATCATAGGCTGCTTTGGAATCAAGACTGAAATTTGAAATTTCTTAATGTCAGTAGCTGGTGAGGGAAGAATGAAGGAGCAACTTGGCTGCCTGCTGGCAAAGTAGAACTGGCTGGAAGGGTGACAGCTCTCCATGAGTGACCCCTCTTTCTTCCTGGAGGGAAAGGATTTTTGGGGACATGCTGGAATGGTGCAGTTTTAATTTTGGTCTGCAGGTTCCTTTGTCCCCTCTCTCTCAGCAAGATAGTTCCACAGGTCATTTGAAGAGAAGGAAAAGGATGAGTTTTCATTGGGAATTTTTGAGGGTTGTGTGAGAAGGGGAAATGGCATAAACATCCATTATATGTTGAAAGAATGACTGAACCGATCACAAGTTGTTTAGTAGTATATTAACAGTCCAGACAGATCCGTTTCTTGCTGGTAATATTCCACGCTTTGAAATTGTTTGCTCAGAACAGACATAATATCGTACTAATATAAGCTATTATATTACACTATTCAGTAATATAAGCAAAAGAAATATATTACAAATCACTTGGTAGGAAAAGTTTTTTTCTGAATGTAAGGGAAAAATGTGAACTAGGAAAAAATATAGAAAATTATGTTTGAAATATTTCTGATGGATTTCAAATGCAATTACTTCTACCCATATAATTGTTTCAGAAATCCATAAAGAAAATGCAGTGACTCATATATTTATTATTTAGATTTGTGTTATTTAGAAATGCCTTTAACTGTGGTTTGGTTTTTAGTGTTATCTGTGGAATGCTGAAAAATATGTTTATATCATAATGTTTTACTGTCACCACTGACCTCATTTCATTACTTTATCATGCTACTTAAAGAAATAATTAAAAGATATAATTTAATTTAAAATGTTGAAGAAATGTACAGAAATGCTGTTAGACCCAGTATGAAGTACAATCAATATATTTGTCAGAATAATTTTATATTTTTAGTGTGGACTTGCGGTTTGGTGTCACTTTGCCTTCAACTGAACTTTTGAGGTCTTACTGTCAGATGAAGGTTGGCAATTCTTTGGCCAGGTATAATCTTTCACACAATATAAGTTCCCAAAATGCAAATACAATGGATGCTACATTATAATATTGTCTGATGTAAACTACTATGTTAGCAAGCACCAAAATATTACTTCAGAGAGTCAGATTTTCAATTTTAAAATCTGTACTAGCTCCTTATTTTTTTTCTTTTGATAACATGGATATGATCAATCTAAAAAGTTAGACTGTAAGTTCCAGAAAATTCAGCTGAGCAAGCATGCATAAAATTGTTCTGGTAGGGCAAATATTTGTCAGCAGTGGATTTTTTTTTTTTATAGAAAAAACACTTTTAGGGAGTTGGGGGAATAAAATTCCTAGCAGGAAGTATCTTCTTGATTGTTTGTTTTTAAAACCTCTTTTCCTTATGGATATTCTGTCTGTAGTGATTATAATCACTAATTTATGGAACTCACCAGGATTCTATTGATACAGATATTGTTTGAATGCTTGTTTTGCTTATTTTATGACATCATTAACATGAATTCTCAAAAATATTTATGATATGGGGAGCAAGGTTAGCAATGATAACAGTATTGATATTCTAAGGAAGGAATATGAACTATTAAATGGCACAATTTTCCAGGGAATGAAGACTTTATTATCCTAGGAGTAGCTCGTGACCATGCTCAATTAAAGGAGAATAATCTCAAGAAAAGTCATATAACTGAACTGATAAATTAGATCACCTCTTTATTTCAGGCCATAGTACCTACAATTATTTCATGCCCAAATTGTTTTGTACACAGAGTATTTGCAAAATGATTTTGTTGTTGAATTAAACGGATGAAGTGGAATTATTGATGCTTTTATATTGAGGATTTAGTTTATTTGGGAGTACTTTATAGAAGACTGCAAAATCAATAGTGGTTGATGCCAGAAATAAAGGTAGAGGAGGCTGCTTGTGCCTTTTTTTCTTTTCCCATAGATCAGGATATAAAATTGCTTTTACCAAGGACCTAAAACTGCTATTCTAAAAAGGATTTTAAAAATTAGGCCAAGGCTATGAGGGGCTTTTAAAATTAGGCCATCAGTTGCCTCCCCTGTTTTGTAGGAAGGAATCTCCTACAGGGATATTGATCCCTAGATATTCAATGGGCTCCTTTTCTGATTTTCTTTAAGTTACAACTTCACTTTTTGAAAATTAGAAAAACAGGTTAAAATATCTTATTTCAGGTTACTGCTATAGGCTAGTTACTTTGCCAGTAAGTATCTGACTTAACTTTATAGTGACAAGGTAAAACCAAGTATCAGTGCTCCATCCTGTCAGTTTAAAAGATTAGGGCAAACTTGAGTGCACAATTAATAAGTTTGCAGCCAAACTCTCCTAACAGATACATTTGAGATGTGTTTACAGACATGCTTATTATTCACATTCACATTTTACAGCAACCCAAAGGATAGAGATGTTGCATTATGTCACAGTTCCAATTCCCCAAAAACCAAGAAACAGAAATAAAAGGTTTGATTAATGGCTTTTAATTCTGGCAGGCCTGGAAACATCAGCACATAGCAACCAAAATAAAGGCAGCAATAACTGTTGCTGCTTTCCTGCCTATTTAACCCCCACCCTCTGTGTGAACCTCTCCAACTGATTGTTGGCTGGCTGCTTCTTCATTGTCCACCTCCCACGTCATGAGTACTGTTTTTCATAATCCCTGTAAGCCTTTCCCCCCCAAATGGGAACCCCCCAAATGGTCTGCTGGAGGGTTGGTCTGCCGTTTTGAGGGTTGACTGGTGACTCCCCTCTACCACAGAGATGGCATCTGGAAGATAAGCAAAGACCACAATAGTTGCCTGCTGAGTGGGGTCCCACACAATCACTCCCACCCAGTTTTTGAGGGTTGACACATTATTATATTTATTATTTATTTACTATAACATTTATTGGTCAACCATCTTACCTCAGGGTAACTCTGGACAGCTTATTATATTACATTATATTAATGAAAGTGTGGTGGAATCTAATCTTATTTAACCTATCCAAATAATTTCTTGCTTTTTGTTTCATATAAGTCTGAAAACAGTTTCAGAATGTTTTGACTTGGAAGTACACAGTTGGATTAGTTCAGTAGTCTCCATATTAGACCAGTATTTTAAAATTCAGTATAGCCTAGGGCAGGTCTGTCAAACTTGCAGCCTACGGCCCAGATGCGTCACATGCTGGCCATGCCCCTGCCCAGTTTAGTGAAGGAGAGAAAAGTCCTGATACATCATGTGATGCCACCATGATGACACGAGTTTGATACCCCTGGCTTAGGGCAATTGTAATTCCTTACAGTAGCATTGTGATTCTGAGTGCACATTTGCTACTGTGCCCACTCAACACCCTATGTACTATACTACTTTCCAAGTCCTATGTAAATTTCATTCCAGTTGCCTGAAAAAGAGATTGGATAACCATTTGTATGAAATGTTATAGAGTTCCTGCTTGAGTAGAGGGTTGGACTACAA